AAAAACGGGAGGTACCACTTTCATGGACAGCGCGCAAAAGAAGGGGTGGTGCCTCGCTACGCGGTTAGCGCTCGTATCTGATAGGCAGGGCAGTATGGGCGCCGCTTTCTTTAGTCGACTCTTCACTACCGACGGCGGTCCGTAGCAGTCTACTCACCAGCATTAACGGTGCGGATTCGTTACTGACAACTCTCTTCAGTTGATTCTTCACTATTTACGGAGGTCACACCACTTTTGTCAACAGCTTTCTTGCACCCGCCTCTATTGATGGCAGCCGGACTCTACAGTATCGACGATGCCAATCCCTTTATCAACAGCTCTACCGACGGGGCCGGCCACAGTCTTCTCTGCTCTACCAACAGCGGCCATTGGAGTGGACTCATTTCGGTCGACACCTTGGCAGCGGCGTATCGCCCGGTATCGAGGGCTCTCAGAAATCAATGATCGACGAAAGCTGATGGATCGCTTTATCGACGAGGACTGCATATCAATATCGACGGTTTCTGTATACACTGACGACTCAGCGGGAATGGTGTTTTAATACCACAGATCAGCAGCAATACTTTTACACTGCCGCCTTTATTTTAACCATATTCAGCGAGACAGCTAAGGCTACTCCCTCTCGACGACTTATTCAAAAATGCAGTTTGCCACTGCTTTATCTGTCAACTAACGACACCCTTGGCCCATTTCTGCGCTTAGACAGCAGCATTATTTACGCCTGGCGTACCATTTTATTAATAATCTCGCGTTGTATTTCGTTAAGTAAATTATTTGTTACCGAAATCGCAACTCCTTTCAACGTTTAAGTCGTTCTCTGTATCAAATCAAGACAGCGAGAATTAGGACTGATATCAGTCTGTATTAAGCGATTTGATTCAATTTGTAATTCTTGGTAAGCGTTTGAAAGAAACTTTTGTTTAATTCGTTCATTCACTACAGCAGTCCAATAGTTGTTTTTTCAGTACAGGTACCACTCACTAATGCGCGATGTCCATCGGTTGTCGGCAAGAAAAGTAGCATATCCTGCCTATCGGATTACTTTCTCGCTTAGTCTCAGTGGGATTCTCTGCACCATTCACATGATAAAGAGTATGACTGTTTATGTAGCAGCAAAGAGATACTCAGATAATTGTTCATTCTACCGCTCAAATCGAGTATTAACTAATTTAAAAACTTAATGATTAATTTACTAAATTCAATCACTGAATTAGCGCGTTCAAACTTTCACTCTTTTTCATGATGGAAAAGCTACAAAACCTTAATCTTTCGTTACCTTGCCAAACTAAACTGCAGTTTTGTATTCAGTAATACTTAGCCGAATTCAGTGCACACACTTTTCAGCCTCAATGGACCCTCTGCACAGCTCGTATATCCCGGTGACCTGGCACACTTCAAATAGCAAAGTTAAAACGAATAGTGTCTGTTAGCTGGTGAAGCCGGTCAAAAGGCTGCCTTGTATTCTAAATTCACGCATTGCGCAAATTCCATCTTTTATAGTTAGAAAATTTGCATAATGTTTATCGAATTGAATATAAAAACTATATCGCTTTTAAAAATTTCCAGTTTGTATTACAGACCAGAAGCGGAGAAGCAGTAACATTTCTAAGCTGTATTTAAAATTCGCCAGGTGTTAGTTTAGCCGGGACAATACCGGGGGTGCTTATGTTCTTTCAAGGATATTGATGCCCGTGTTCTTTTTATTTTTTAATATTGATGCCTTTAAATGCTAGTAAATAATGACGCAGTGGCAAGCTGCTTAGCGATCGAGGTTTAACTCTGCTACAGAGACGACCGACTTCTCTTTATTCTTTTAGTGGTAAATTGGACTATCAATTTCCAGGGAATCAAATCCGTCATCAGTACATGACTTTGCGTCCGAATCCTTCCTCTTCAGCTTTTTTATCCTTTTATTCTACTTAATAATTTCCCAGTTAGCTGAATTTTGCATATCACGTACTCATCTTCTTTCTCATTATTTCGAGCAGTCCTTGAAAAAGGCACCACCGACAGCTTTACCAACGTCTAGTTGCTGTGCTACTATTCTGGTTACTTCCAGTTGTCTCCGCATTACACAGAGAGTCTGTGCGCAAGTAGTTTTGACAGGCAATTTAAGATTTACGGGCTGGTGATTTCTTCGCTATGGGACAGTGCATTTTGTTCTGAGGCAAAGCACCAGCGATGGAAATGGTTTTTCAGGATGTTATATCGGATAATTCTAATGGCAAGCTCATTACCAGGAATGATCGAAGCGTTAGGATGCATTATAAGTGGAAAACACGCAATGAACGGGCAAGTCGGTGGTTCCTCAGAATCGAAGCACATTTGTCGCAAATCCAGCAAATATTGCATCAAAGTGCAATCCGAATTCATTATTAATGGCGGTACGAATGTTTATATTTTTTATTAAAAAAAATTTCTCAAAAACAGCAGCATGCCCCAGACGTCCAGGCAGTTTCAGTGCTATTTTGATCCATAGATAACTCATTTTGAACCACATAGCTTCACTAATGCACAGTTCTTTTCAAATAAGTATGGGCTAGAAGAGAATCAAGCCATTTCTCTTCACATCCCGACGCCAAGTGCTATCCAATATATCATCCGCCCTTACACACTTAGTAACTGAGGCGTACATCTGTGTGCGGCTCCCCTATACATAATCTACACCGTCTTACTGCGGTACGCTCTCCGGCACATGTCGAAAACATTCGAGTGCTTCCGCCTTTTAAATAAATGGACAACGCACCAACCGCCATTGTGAAGATGCTTTTTTTTGCATAATTCTGCGCAGTTTTTTTTAGCTAGCCACACCGGTTTTTCTGAAAAATGCTTCTAGCTAAGATATTTTTGACTAGTCACCAGGGCTATCTGAAAACAGCCTTTAAAATTTCAGCTTTCTAGCTTCCCTGGTTTCCGAGTTCGTAACTTATCCCCAAAAAACTTTCACGGGCCCTTACATAGGAATCACGACACCCGAGAACTGGGTGTGGATTCATTAAGACCTACGTGGACGTGGAACATCCCCTTAAAATTCCAGTCTTTTAGCTTTTCAGGTTCCTGACTTAACAAATTGCCCGAAAAAAACTTTGGCGGTCGTACATGAATGCCACGCAAGTAAGAGCATCCATTTTGGAGATGGGGGCCAGTAAACGCATTTAGATGGGGGCCGAAAGTTTCAGCTCTGTAGCTTTTGTAGGTCTCGAAATGAAAAATCGATACAGATGAACAAACAGACACACATGCACAGAAACACACGCACATTCAGGTACACATACACACACACACACAAACAAACAACCCTCGTCAGTATGCGTTTTCTGCATTGCACGGATGCAAAAAACTTATAAAACGGAGTAGGGAGAGAGGTAAAGGGGGATGGGGGACTTGATTTTGCCTTTGATTCTGAGATATTTGATGTATGCTTTGCTATAAAGTTTTGCTATAAGGTCACTAAATAGGCCACTGCAATCTAGCAATGGCAACATTGCAGACACGACGGAGGTCATAAGTTGATGGCAGGTGATTACTATACTTCATCAACATTAAGTCGAAAAACTGGTGAAATGAGGTCCAATTGCTGTAGCCAAAGAAACGTGCTGAAAGAAGGGACGCAGTTTGTTAATGGCAACTAAACAAAATTAGGGGTTCAAAAAATCGAGATCGCAAAGGCCGTCTAAAACATTCGGTGTGGGTATTCCATGTTAGTGATCTTACTAGAGTGCCATTACGAATCGCTACGCAAGCGTGTGTAATAAGTGTATGTGCGTATACATGTGCGCGTTTGTGTATGTCTATGCTTGTACGTATCTGAATAAAACAAAAATAAACAGTATTTTTTCTTGTAGATCATGTGCAAACGACATTGCGTGGATGTGACCATACGCAGCTCGGCGTTCCAGGTGGCATTTTCTGCAGCGTACGTCTTTCTCTGTTTTTTATGCAATTCACGCCGTACTAGCGATGTAAAAATTATGTTGCCGACACCCTGTGTTTACGTATTTGTGCGTGTGTAATAAGTGTATGTGCGTATACATGTGCGCGTTTGTGTATGTCTATGTTTGTACGTATCTGCATATGGGTGTTTCAACTTAGCTATCAACGAAGCTGGAAAGCTGGACTTTACGAGGATGTATCGGCCTGTTTACAGTTCCGCATTTCCAAATTCTTTTTTCACCTGAGTTATTCATATGTGTGGACACGTCAAATTACAAATTAGAAATTGCTGCCATTTAGCACAGGGGCAGCACTGCGCAAATGATTGCAGTAGCTAATTATTTTTCAGTTAGAAAAAGTATGATTTTGTGAAAAAAATTTAGTAAGTCCCACGCGTTGGTCAAGAATTTTTGCCTAAAATCCAATTGCAAAAGTTGAAAATTTTGAGAATCGTTTTAAGTCTAAGAATGTCGGAAAATCTTGCAACGCATATATAATCATATTTGTACAAATATCAGCTGTAGTTCATGTCCTAATTTCCCACATATATAGATGGCTATTTCTCCAATTGCTTTGGTTGATAATGTACAACTTTCTGGTGATCTGACGCTCATTTCGTTGCTACAAGGATTATTGGCTCATCGACACACTCGGTTTAAGTAACCATAGTCTGCGAATATTTAGAGTGAAGGGTGCAGAAACAGAAGACACAAAAATGGCTATGTAAAGGGCAATGAATTCGAAGGTCACTCAAAGATCTGTTGCTGCAGCACAAATTACTGCAATGCGGGAAGTCGGAAAGGTGCCGTATTGTTACTGATTTTCTGTTTGACGGTTTTCTTACACATTTTGTTTCCATATATTCTGTTATGTGATTCAGTCCATTTGAACTCATATTGACCGCATGTCCACTCTTCTTGGATCTTATGTGGATATGTGATTAGACACGTATTAGTCCTTGGATTTTTGCCCACACGCATGACTGAATGCAGCTTTGTAAAAGGAAGATGCCAAAGATAATTTACATCTTTTACATCTGTGATTGAAAATTTTCACGCGAAAAAATGTGTAAAATAATGTCGGTTTCATCTTTTCGCTTGTTTGTGGAACTGCTGCGGTTTTGTTTTTTGTTATAGTTGCAACAGTCCTTT